GTCTAAATTATTCAATGAAATATGCCTCAACATATATATATATATATATATATATATATATATATATATATATATATATATATATGTGTGTGTGTGTGTGTGTGTGTGTGTGTGTGTGTTGGGGGTATAAAGGTTAGTTCAAGCATTAACAGACTGCCAAAATGCTTGGTATTGACTTTAATGTCTACTTATATATATATATATGTCTATTTATATATATATATATATATATATATATGTGTGTGTGTGTGTGTGTGTTTATATATATATATATATATATATATATATATATATATATATATATTTACAAATTCATAAATTATTCATACAAAAACAAATACAAAGGTTAATGATTTAATTGGCGAAATCCATCGTCGCGAACAATTAAAAATATACAAAAACCCCGAACCTGTTATGAATGAAAAGTAAATTGTTTTTATAAATTTCTGTTGCATTGGTTCTTATTTTACTACTCTTTGTCTGTTTCTACAGACATCTTCAGGTATGGAATAGATGTTGTTCTTGTTTTTTACTCTCAGTAATAAGAGGACAACGAAAATATATGTATTGTTGTATCCGAAAATGCTATTAGAAATGAGCTAACTCGACCAAATGAAATGAAATAATATATATATATATATATATATATATATATATATATATATATATATAGGGTGTATCAAGAATTTTTTTACAAATTTTGTGAGTTAACTGAGAAGTGTTCCGATTAACAATGGCGGAATATTCATATTGTGATCATGCAGATATGATTTTTTACATACGGCCGCGCGAATGGTAATGGATGCGACGTTGCACGGTTGTACCAGATTGCGAATGCAGAATGAAACCAGCCGATTTATGCAAACTGTTCTGTTGTTTATCGTTGCGCTGCTGAGACAGAAACCGTAGCACCACAAACTATGGATCAAGAAATACCGAGATCTTCTACTACGCCTGATCACGAAAACACATTCTAAAGGCTGTCGGAGATGATTCTGATATCAGCACGTCATGTGGCCCTAGCATGTCGTTCATGTCATAGCATTGTATGGAAGGTACTTCAAAAGTAGCTCCTGTATCCGTCTTATTTGCAACGTGTGCAGGTGTCGTCCGCCGTCTGATCATTCAAACAGGAGAATGTTTGCCGATGGTATATTGCACAAACTGCCGATCTGTTGTTTGTCTCTTCCGTCTTGTTTTACAGATGACGCAACATTTGGAAGAGATGGAATAAACAATTAAACACAACCAACATTTGTTGGTGGATCAGATTGTATATCTGGATTGTACATTTAACAGCGTCTGCCATTACATGAAACGTCATTTAGCATTGAACAATGAGAGAGTAATATATAATTTCTTTCTAAAAAAAGGTTTCTCGAATATATGCCGGTAGATGCAGTTGGATAAAAATACTGTTTAATTAAAAGACAGAGTTTCTACTTGAATATGCGTATTCATAAAAATAACGTCGAAACAAAATTATAATAATATGTCGGATTTAATCCATTCTCTGGAGTAAATTGTTTACGTTGGATACGAAACAGAAAACATATATGGATGTTTTGAGATTTCAAGGAACCCCGACGCAAAAAAAAACAAAATTGTATACTGTATCTTTCTCATTTTGATGTGGGACCGTGTTGGTTGGCCTGATAGACTCGTGAATGTCTGAGCTAAAATCGCAGAATAAAATGAAATAAAATATATAATTATTTTTTTTATCATTTCACCCCATGTAAGGGGGGTAATGACACTAATTTTTTTTTATTACGAGAAAAGAAAGTGAAAGAGAAGACTAAAAATAGGGAGAATTAACGAAAAGGACAACAGATGAACGGGTTTCAAGAAGGCAGAAAATGGCGATTGACGCTGCATTTAAATTATTGAAGATAATAGTTTTTCAGGGAAGAAATGAAACGGACTAGAGTTATACTATACTAGTGACGGCCTAGGCTAGAGAGTTCAGTCTTCCTTATTATTTAAATAGCTGAAGGACGAACAGATGTGTTCTTACCTTTCCCAAGTGTAGTTGTGCGAAACTCGGTTTGAAGGAGTTCTCGTTCCGAGCCTTTAAGCACTGCAACAACTGCACATCTACATTTTTATAACTCAATTAAGCTAAATGAATGAAATAAATAGACAAAAACTATCGTAAAAAAAAAAAATAAAATGATTGATTAATAAACAAATAATTGGGATTAAGAGTACTTGACTTTGAGTAATTAAAATGGTTTCAAAATAAGCATTAGCCTTTAAGTAAGAAAGGTCTTGTGGTGGTCACTCAAATTATAGCTGTAGAAATAGCCTCGTGTTCAGAGGAATTAAAAACACACTTTACAGCAATAAAACATACACAGAAATAGCAGGGAAGGTATGGTAAATTGTACAATATCATAAATATCATACAATATACTTATTTTTATGTGTACTGGTGTGTGTATTTTTTATTAAAATGTTTCATGGTTGCATGCGATAAAAGGGAGAAGTCACTCCGTACTATTACAAGCAATGTCACAGAGATTTTGGGAGACGTCAGAAGATTTATAGCGAAGAGGTTGAATTTAACGTCTTTAGGCGGGATATCCGTTTTCCGACAGGAACAGTTTTGTTGCATGCTGCTGGAATATTTTTTTATATCTATATTAATTTATTTCATACAAAGTTTAAATGTTACTGTTTTATCATTATTTTATTCATAATTTTCATTATTATTATTATTTTATTTTTTATTTATTTATAAAAATAATGTCCCTACAATCTCTCCTTTCATTTGATTTTAAGAATTTGATATATGACGTTAAATGATGAAAAGGGGATCAGTTTTCAATTCGTTAATAGAACAATAAGTTGTACCTACTGCATTCTACATCGATAAACTGAGATAGATAGATAGACAGATAGATAGATGGAGAGAGAGAGAGACAGAGAGAGAGAGAGAGAGTGAGTGAATTTGTTCATCCTTTTGTAATCCTGGAACAACGCCACCTATCGGCGTCCTGGTCGACAAAGTGGTAGTAATCCCTACATTAGAGTGACCATTACAAATATATATTTTATAACTGCGATTCTAATAGTTTGTTTTGTCGCACTTCTCGCCTGTGGCACTTACTTTGGCCTTTCTGATTCCCTGACACCTCAGTCAGATATATGGCATACGTGATACACATTGGGTTAATCATGTCTCTCTTTCGATTCATGATTGACTGGGCAGAATTTTTTTACCGCAGTACGTTGACATTTCTTTCTGCGGTAGACTGGTTGCTGAAAAGTCCATAAGACCCAGTCTGTTTTCCTATTTAATCCATAGCTGGAGAGAATAGATGAATTCATACCTTTACCAATGGCATTTGTGCGTAAGGAATGTAACGCTCAACTAAAATTTGAACTCGGCTCTCAAATTTCGCATTCCGAGCCAATATCCATTACACCACAACCCATATCCACCCTGCCAATCTTCAAAAAATTATTCTGCCTCTCTGAAGAATTTCTTTTATTGCCCTTTCTCCTCGCTAAATTCTTCTCATTCTCTTCCACTCCCAGTAAACCTTTGCGCTTTAGTGGCATTAACGCCTTGCTAGGAATGAAATGATTAAAAGAAGCAACCTTACGGGGGGAAATTGATTGAAACCGAGATGCCAGGTCAGGACCAATAACATTGAAGATTCTTTCTTGGATTTTATCAAGAATCTTTAAATATATAATGGGAGCATCAGACCAGATGCAGTAAGTACGAATGCTAGACATAAATATGTAAGATAGATTCTGGTGAGAAAAATTCCTTGCTCGATATATTGAACCAACTTTTTTTTTTTTTTTTTTTTTTTAAGCATTGTGCCCCAAGCAAGGCGTGAAGCCACTAGGATGCAGGGGGTTGGGGTTTGGAGCGAGAGCAGATAGGTGTGATAGAAGAAAGGAAGAGGAGAAGGATAGTGGGTAGATCAAGGTAACTGGAGATGTCAATTGACATTACATTTGAATAGTTGGAGATTATAGCTTTCAGGGAAACAGTAATTGGGAAGGGTGTTCCACTGGCGAGAGGTGCGAGGTATGAAGCTATTGGAGTAGAAGAGACGGCTACATTTAAAGGTTTCTACAGTGAAAGGGTGGGAGCGGGATGCCAGCCTCGTAGGGCGCTTGAATTCATGGAGTCTGGGAACCAGTGAAAGCAGCTCATCGGAGCAATTACCATGGAAAGTATTTGTAAAAAAGACAGAGAGAGGCGACGGCGCGTCTGTGAGAGAGTGACTGTAGACAGGATGCCAGATCAGGGCCAATTATATTACATATCCGTCTCTGGATCTTGTCAAGAACTCCGAGGTAAACAGAAGGTGCACCAGACCATATATGGCAGCAATACTCCATGCAAGGGCGAATGGTTGATTTGTATATTTGAAGTGTTGATTCCGGGGAGAAAAATTTCCTGGCGCGTCACAGAGAGCCAACTTTCCTCATGGTGGACGAAGCAATTGACTCAATGTATTTGTTCCATCTCAGGTCAGCAGTCAATGTTGAGTTTCGAGCAGACATAGAGTTGCTACCTTGTTATGTATCAGACATATTAATGGGGGCCAGGGAAGGACATCCTGAGATTAATAGGTTTAAGTTTCATCCTTTTTGAGGCGTTAAATCCTGATTCAGCCAATTATTGGTTATTATTATTATTAACAACCGATTGGATTATTATTTTCAAGAATGTATTTTTAGTTTGGTACATGACTTTATCAAGTTTTTTTGAAACCAGAAATAAACCAAAGGTTTTCTAGATGAAACTTTTTGAACCAACTACATTGAGTTTTTTTTGAAAATAAGAAAGAGTCTCAAAACTCTTTTGTATTTCAGATAATAATAGATTTCCCCTCGTTTTTCTTAATGAACTGCATATCAATATTATTTTAAATCAGTCCTAGGTTTCCTATAATTATTGGAATTGTGGTTAGTTTAAAAAATTGACTTGCAATTTTTGTTCCAGATTCTTATATGTTATATTTTATCTTCCAATGCAAAGGTATTTCTCTACCCTATCATGTCTATATTTGAATTCATGAAGGGCTTGGGGGACAAACTAATATATTGATAGGCAAGGCACATTTTGTAGATCTGTACAAAAGCGAAATTCTGGACTTGTCCAATTCATTAACATATGTGCCTGGTAGGATTTCATTAGCACATTTTGACCTTGAGCTGCTAGAATTAATATATTTATTATAGTATTATTATTATTACTACTACTACTATTGCTACTACTACCTTGGTTTTCTATTGTTGTATATTTCTGTGCAACTATTATAATAATATATTAGATTAATTAAAATGCTTATTCTAAAATCGGACATTACTTTCTCAACAACCTAATCGCTCAGTTTAGTTAATTCTTATCGAATAAAAACATTTCTTTCAAAAATTTTTCCTTCATTGATATTGATGGATTCCATGTCTTTTATTAATTTTATAATATTTGTATTCAAATTTCTAGTCCAGTTCATGAATCATGGTTTCATTCTTAAGTTGTTACATTTTGCTCTTTTCCCCCAAAAAAAGCAAGGCGATAATGCCACTAACAAGCAAAGGAGTTACTGGGAGTGAAAGAGAAAATGAGTTATTTTAATGAGAAAAAGGGCAATAAAGGAACAATAAATTCAGGACACGGAAGATAGCGATTAATTTGCATTTAACCTGTTGAGGATTATATTTGGCAGAGAAACAAGAAATCAAGAGTTCCACAGTCAAGAAGTGCAAAAAATTTTAGAAAGAAAATGACAGTTGCAACTAGTTATTTCAACGGTGAGACCTAGTTGCAAATTATCTAGTAGCACGCATTTCGATGTATGAAGGAGGAAAGTTCATGTGAAAATATTTGTAGAAAAGGCAGAGGAAGCCTCGTCGCGGTTGGGAAATTAACTGATGATATGCCGGGTTCAGGATGGATTATCTTATGTTACAGACACTACTTTGGATTTTCTCAAGAACAAACGAAATATATAATAGGAGCACCAAGGCCAGATATGGCAGCAATATTAAATGCACGGACGAATGGTAAATTTATTAATGTGCAAGAGGAGTATGATATCTATATATATGAACCCATTTTCTTAGCAGTAGTCCTAGTAATTGATTCAATATAAAACTTCATGTCAGTGGAAAACGTTACGCCAAAAGCAGACACAAAAAATGTTGTTTTTAGCATGTTTATCTTGGTCAAATTCTATGGGGATATATTACTGAATTTCTTTTTGTTGCTAATATACCTTTTAGTTCATCAACATTTTTAAAAACAGCTTGAAATGTAGAACAAATAGCAGATAAACGTATTAAATATCTTATATTCATAATCTGTTATTTAGTTTGTTTGAGAACGATATTAATGAAATACAGAATCATAAAAGTGGAAGTCTTGTAGTGAACAAAACAAGAAAGATTTAAAATTCAAATGTTAAGCGAATCCAAAACAAAATTTCGTTAAATTTCAAATACTTTTTTTTTTTGGATTTTTTTGGTAATGTTAAGCAAAGTTTGTAAATTCGAGTCTTTTTAATATTAACAAAATCAATGAGTCAGTGCTTATATTTGAATTTTAAATCTAGATCTTGTTTTGTTCACTACAGTCTCTTTTGAAATATTTAAATTAAAAACACAAACATATTTACGAATCAGTGTTTATGATAAATATATATATTTATATATGCTTATATATATATAAAACAATAGATTTTTTAATCAATTTCTAAGAATGGCAATAAAGCCACTAAAGCACAAGGGATGTTACTTAGTTTACGAGACAATATAAATTATAAAAAAAGTACATTATTATGAGAAGAATAATAAAATAATATGAATTAAGAAGACAGCAGATAACGATTGACTTGGAAGAAGAAAGAGATCAACAGCCAGACAATAAAAAAACTGCCAGTTGAGAATTTACGGTTATATCTTTGCCATTTCTACTGGTAATTTCCTGCCAATCTAGTAGTGCCTTAAATTCATAAAAGTTTAGGCACCATAGAAAAAAGTTCATCAGAACAATTATCATGAAAATTATTTACAGAAAAGACAAAGAGAAGCGACAAGCACAAGAGATGCCAGGACAGGGCCAATAACATTGCAGATTCTTCTTTGGATTTTATCAAGAATACATAGCTGTTGTGATGTGGGGTCTGGCAAGACACAACAATCTAGAATGTGTACGTACCATAGAAGAAAGCTCATCAGAATAATTAAATATGAAAGTATTTATAGAAAGGCACAGGAAGCTGCATTACGGCGGTGGAAAGTGACTGAAATATTGAGATGTCAGGTCAAGACCAATAACATTTGAAGTCTAAAAATCCGTAAATGTATTAACGCTCTGTCGTCATAAAAAGGACATAAAGATACGGAACTGCCGGGCGAAGAGGATGAGTGTAAAAAGTATCTGTTCCAGCAGACGATCAGCCAACCCACAGTTACAGCCAAAAGCAGCAGTTCCAGCTTTTTAGCCACTGTCATCATCAGCTTTCGATCATCCGTCGCTCCAGTAGGCACCAACCAAATTTTTTCTTGCTTCAAAAAAACCAAAGATCCGGTGCTACTAACTACGCTTTTCAGAGCACAAAGTCTCTTCTCTCCGCCACCAAAACCGACTGTCCTTTTCTGGGCACAAAGTATCTTTTTTTGCCACAAAAACCGACTGTCCTTTTCTGGGCACAAATTCTCATATTTCCGCCACCCAAAACCGACTGTCCTTTTTCTGGGAACAAAGTCTTTTCTCCCGCCACCAAAAACCGACTGTCCATTTCTGGGAACGAAATCTCTTCTTTCCGCCACTAAAAACGACTGTCCATTTCTGGGAATAAAGTCTCTACTCTCCGCCACCAAAAGAAACTGTCCTTTTCTGGGAACAAAGTCTCTTCTCTCCGCCACTAAAAACCGACTGTCCTTTTCTGGGAAAAAAGTCTCTTCTCTCCGCCACCAAAAACCGACTGTCCTTTTCTGGGAACAAAATTTTTTTTTCCGCCACCAAAACGAACTGTCCTTTTCTGGGAACAAAGTCTCTTCTCTCCGCCACCAAAACTGACTGTCCTTAAAGAACAAAGTCTCTTCTTCCGCCACCAAAAACCGACTGTTTATTTTCAGAACAAAGTTTTTTCCGCCACCAAAAACCGACTGTCCTGGATTGGGAACAAAGTCTCTTCTTTCCGCCATAAAAACCGACTGTTCTTTCCTGGCCACAAAGTCTCTTCTTTCCGCCATCAAAAACCGACTGTTCTTTCCTGGCCACAAAAGTCTCTTCTTCTCCCGCTACCAAAAAAAACAAAAACAAAAAAAAAAACTGCCCTTTTCCGAGCATAAAAGTTTTCTTCCAATTTATACAACGAAGCAGACTTACCAGCTCTGCAGCCTGTCTAACCTGAAGCAGCAAATGATTTTAACAACATAACTCGCAGCTTAGGCAGTAATTTCTGACCTACAAGCCGCTAGCTATACCAACGCCTCGCACAGGCCGCTTCCACGCCTGTTTGCAACCAAACTCGCAACTCCAGTTACATCACCAGTCTACTAAATATTGGCTCAGCTCGGACCGATGACAACTTTCAACACGACCAATCTGAGCAATTCAAAACACCAATTTTCGTTTTTTTTTGTTACTTTGATTTTTCCAATAAAAAATTTGGGATTATTATTAATTATTCTAATTTCGTTAGAGGCAGTTTTCCTTTTTTGTGAAACTTCTATCAAAATTGTTTGTGGGGATAGTCTAACATAAACGAATTTATCCCTGCAACAAGTTATCTATTGAGCACTGTTATATTAAGCGTATGTTGGCAGAACAAAAGAAACGACAGTGGTTTAAGAAATAAAAAATTGTATTAACGTAAAAAAATACAACAAATAAAAATCGGTGTAAATGTCTCTCGTTGAAAGAAAAGATAATATAGAATCGTAAAAGTCATCCACAGAGGCGTACGGTAGGAGATGAAATTTGTGAATTGTGACTTACTGCGGCGACGGTCTTTCAGTTTTTTGTCTTTGGAGATAGGAGGTCGCGTTCTGACGAGCGTTGTGAATCTTGGCTGTTGTACCATCCGACTGCCGAAAATGTCCCTTTGATGGGCTTTTATGTCATTTTTCTTAGGCTCAGATCAGCTCCAATTTTTATTTTTTTTTTAAGTGGAAGTGGGTGCAAATTGAATGGAAATTCTGGATTGTATTTTTCTTTGAGTATGAAGGAAAACGGATGGTATGTGCGGAGCCGATGCGCAGTTGACGGAATTTTAGTTCAGTCTTGAATTTCGGGTAAGAGGGGGTATTTTTAGCCAGCGGTGGAAATTTGTGTAACATGAATCAGAAGATCTGGTTTTAGGAAGATTATAATAACACGCATATTGCCAAACTTCTGCTCGCCTTGACATACGTTAAATTAAATAATTTTATTTAGGTATTATTATTATTATATAATAAATAAAAAATAAAATATATATAATAGATATAACAATGACTTTTAATTAATGAACACATTTCTAAAAACATTTTTCTCTGTAACCTATATTGAAGTTGTTCTTTTATTACTGAGAAGTAAAAAACAAAACAAATCATATTTATTATATGATGATGTCTGTAGTCCCAGACGAAAGCTTTTATAAAAACTAAAAAGACCGTATGCAACAAAATTTAGGTTGATATAATAACATTAGATTTACAGTATGGAAATATATATTTATATAAATTTGTTATACAGATATATATATATATATATATATATATATATATATATATATATATATATATTATATATATATATATATATATATATATATATATATATATATATATATATATATATATAGACATATATATATATATATATATATATATATATATATATATATATATATATATATATATATATATATATATATACACCGATATATATATATATATATATATATATATATATTGATATATATACATATACGCGATATATATACGAATATATATATATATATATAACAAATATATATATATATATACAAAAATATATATATATATATATTGTATATATATAAGGTTTATATATATATAGAGATAACATACCATATATATATATATATATACATATATATATATATATATATATATATATATATATATATATATAGATATATATATATATATATATGACCAGTGGTGGGAAAGATATATATATACATATATAAATTGTTTATAAACATTACTATATAAAATATATGACAATTATATATAACCAATTTATATATATATATATTACAACACATATATATATACCAGGAATATATATATATAAACTGAAAAATTATATACGATATATCAGGTTTTATATATATAAATATATATACAGTTTATATATATATATATATATAGATAAATTATACGGACTTCAATAAATACATATATTCCCAGACATATATATATAGATATATATATACGGAAATATTTGAATCAATAGGGCATATATATATATATATTTAATTTATAACAAATTCCTCTGAAAATTTGTGTGTGGTACCTTGGTCCATTGGTATTAGTATACATATTCGATTTTATAACAACTTTCCACCAAAAAAAGTTATTAATAAAAATACGTTTTCGAGGGTGGAAATAAGCATAAGACAGTTTTGAAAATTTGTATTTAACAGCAAAATTGTACAAAATTCAATATTTACATTTATTCCTTTCAATTGTAATACTTCAACACACCTGTTTTGCATTGAATCAATAAGTTTTCTGAGAGTTTCAGATGGAATTTCATTCCAATACTGTTTAATGCAAGATTTTAAAGTTTCTCTATCTTCAAATTGACGTTTATTTTTGTATACTCTTCTTGACAAAATTCCCCACAAATTTTCTATTGGGTTTAAATCTGGAGACTTAGTGGGCCAGTCCAAAACTTCAATATTTTTTGTTTTAAACCAGTCTTTCGTGAGCTTAGAAGTGTGTATGGCTGTGTTGTCCTGTTGAAAAATGGCATTATTGGTGTCTAGATGATTCATAAATGGGACAAAACTTTTTTCCAACACATTGATATATCGAGCAGAGTTTTGTTTCCTTCCATCACTACTAAATCAGCCTTTCCAGATGCAGAAAAAGCTCCCCAAACCATAACAGATCCTCCTCCAAATGGTCTTTTTGAAAACAGCTGCTTCTCCTTTCTTAAATCATGCCAATAACACTGGTAGCCGTCGGGCCCATCCAAATTAAACTTTTTCTCATCAGAAAACACCACGGTTTCCCATTTCTCCTTTGTCCATGTTACTTTTTTCTTTACCCAATCTACACGCATCTTCTTGTGTTTAGCAGTTAAAGCAGGGGCTGTCTTCCTGTTTCGATACATGAGATTTGGCGATTCATGGAGAAGTTGACGAACTCTTCTTGGAGTGATGGGTAAATTCTGAGATTTTTGCAGATCTCTTGAGCTTGATTGTCCTTTAGAAGCTTCTCAAAAAAAGTCGACGTCTGGCTGCATTTGTAATTTTAGGTGGACGACCTGGACGTTTTCTGGTGCCATATGATTCAGGGTCCTTTAGATAATTTCTCACAACTGTTCGGGACCTCGACAGTTCTCTTGCAATGAAACTTATAGATTTTCCTTCCAGTTTATAGGCAGAAATTTGCCCTTTTTCATTTTCATTAAGGGGGAGTTCCTAGGCATTTTGCAGTAACTGTATTCAATTATGAAATGTTTAAATAGGACTCACGTGGCTTAAAATCATGATAAGAGTCTTTTTATAATCTGCGCATGCACTTATTCTTCCTTTGGCATTCTGAAGTAAACCAGATATGCAAATTTTCAAAACTGTCTTATAATTATTTCCACCCTTGAAAACAAAGTTTTGTTAACTTTTTTTGGTGGAAAGTTGTTATAATATCGAATATGTATACTAATACCCATCAGATCTAGGTACCACACACAAATTTTCAGAGGAAATTAATATATGAAGAATCTGTTCCAAGGAATGGTATTAAAATTTCTGTTATGGCATTCATCAATCTATTGAGTCGGGTGCTACAAATTCTTGATATATAGTAAAGTAACATATATATTCTGGGTGTTACAGCATAATTGTTCAGCCCACAAAATTTTTAGTATCTAAAAAAATCACTAAACTGAATTTCTTTTTTCCAGGTTTTCAGATAAGACATAAGACATCTTGATAACATTTGTCATAAGAATCACTAAAAAAAACATTTAGTTATTTAGCTAGAAAGAAAACAGGTTACAATCATTTGTGTCAGCCCCACTGTCTTCCCAAATGAGCAATGACGAGAGGAAAAATATCATTCAGGCCTTCAGTAATGGTAGCAACATTCATACTCTGGTTTCCATCTTCAAAATCCATACAAGAACCATCATTTCTAAGATACAATGGTTCAAAGTTTAATCTAACAATTGGACAATTTTGCTGTTACACCCGGTATATATATAATCATTTCACCTCAAGCAAAACAATAAAGCAACTAGGATGCAAGAGGTTACTGATAATATGAAAAAAACTACTATTAAGAAGAGAGGATATTAAAATAATAAGAATTAAGAAGACAGAAGATAATGATTGACATTGCATTTAAATTTTTGAAGATCAAAGTTAACTGGGAAGCAAAAAGCCAGAATAGAGTTCCACAGGTGAGAAGTGCAAAAGAAGAAACTGTTAGCATAGAACTTACGGTTGCATTTTTCAACTATAAAATGATAAGACCTTTCTGCCAATCTATAACTGTGCTTAAATTCATCAAGACTAGGTACGATTAGAACAATTACAATGAAAATATTTATAGAAAATGCACAGGGAAGCTGTTACAGTAATGGGATAGGGACCAAAGCCAAGATACCAGATCAGGACCAATAACATTGCAGATTCTTCTTTGGATTTTATCAAGAATATCTAAATATACAGCAGGAGCAGTAGACTAGATGTGGCAGAAACAACTTTTGTGAAAAACATTTAGTCAATTGATATGGGACCTATATGGAGTCCATGATTCTGAACTGTGCAACAGTGTGGTCAAAACAGGTGCTTTATAAACCCGTATTTTGGTGTC